TTTATGTTAGGATTAAAAATGTCGTATAGAATCATGACCAACAGGTACAAATTTTTGAGAAATTTAAACCTAAGTAGGTTTGAAGATGATACAATTAGGGCCGAAAAATTGTTTTAACCAACCCCGTAACTTAATTTTTAATCCTAACATAAAACTCAGGATATTAATTATGTTTCATAATATAATTTTTTACAAAATTCATACTCTCAATAAGTATATTTTGCAACTAAACACACAACTAAAAATTATAAAGTAACAACGTTTGCACGTAAAATCAAGAATTTCATAAAGTCAATTTTTTACCTAATATAAAAAAAATCAATCGTAAATACACATTCAGTCGATTGTCTCGCAGAACATTAACAGTGATAAGCCTATGCGACATTTTATAGAAATTATTTTAAACAAAAAATATTGATCATAAAGCTCATACTCCCAGCAAAACTTGCATGTTACTGCTTACCCCCTGTTAAAAGTATACTCAAGCTCTTCTATCTTAGCTCCTATAATTAATTCTTTCGAGACCTTTCTATATACTGAGTAATTAACGAGTACTTCAAAATTTTATTTAGAAAAACGGTTTTGCAAAAAAAGACTGTCTAAAAATAGTTTTACTGTATCCTAATTGAAGTAATGTTTAGTACATACTAGAATAAAACAAATGGCAAAAGAATCACTAATAGTTAAACATTGCTTCCGCAGAGGTTTACGGACGAAGCTTGAACTTTTACTCATGGAAGGATAAAACACTTCAACAGACCATCAACTTGGGGAAAGATGGCATAACTCCATTTGAAGTTCGTTTTCTTCACGACCCTCTGAGCTGCGAGGGATACGTTGGTTGCGCATTAAGTTCGACAGTTTACCGATTTTACAAAAAGGATGGCAGCTGGGCCGCAGATCAGGTCATCAAAGTACCATCTAAGAAGGTCGAAGGATGGATGTTACCTGACATGCCTGGTAATAATAATAAATACGAAATGTATATTTTCACAACCAAAAATTCAGATTTGTTAACGAAACTTGAGTATTGTTTGTTTATTATGTTATATATTTAGTATTTTGTTGATGGTTTCTAATATCTTCATTTTCAAAAGAAATTTAATTCACAATATCTGATAAGTTATTTTCTAACACTAAAATAGGAAAATACTTCGGCTTACCTTTACTTATCGCAATTTGTTCGTACATCGTTACAAAAAAAAAAAGTGGAAAAATTATAAAAATATGCCTTTTTTGTTAACTAAAAGGCAAGAAATAGTTTGATTTATCTTATGCACGATGTATAAAATCGAATAACTGAACTATTAATTTTTGACGATCTACATTACTGCTGGAGTCTTTTGCTTTTGTTATTCATGCGTATGATAAGAAATACGTTTCTGATTTTTGGTTCGAAAAAAAAGTATAGTATTTCTGTTTCTGAACTATTAAACTAAAAAATTTATCTAAAACTGAACTAAAATGGTACACAGTATATTTGACTAGTAATTTAAGAACTCCTCGACTACAACATTCAGTAACGATAAGATAAGATGAATCGTTTATTAAAAGATAAATTAAAGCAGCTTTACCTTGATTGTGTTTTAAAATCTATCATTTATAATTTTCAAAACGTACTTAAAAGAAAGAAAATTAATTCATGGTGTTAATCCTACATTAAATTATCACGAACAGAAAACAGAAAAAATCATTTATCTAATCTAAAAGTACGCAAAAAATAGATTACGATATTCCGCTTATTTGCCGTAAACATACAAACAGACAGTCAAACATTTACTAAAAGCGTATACATACAATTCCATTCTCATCCATTAGGTTTGGTGACTGACATCATCATAAGTTTGGACGACAAATATTTGTATTTTTCAAACTGGCTTCATGGTGACGTACGCCAGTACGATATAACCGACCGAGCAAATCCAAAACTCACTGGACAAGTGTTTGTGGGTGGCTCTTGCCTATCTGACTCTCAAGTACGAGTTATCGAGGACAAAGAACTGAGCGAACAACCTAAGCCAGTATTTATTAAGGGTCGTAAACTTGATGGCGCACCTCAGATGCTTCAACTTAGTTTGGATGGCAAGCGATTGTACGTGACAACGTCGATTTTCAAACCCTGGGACAGGCAGTTCTATCCAGAACATATGAAGTACGTCGATGCGTTTCAGTGTATCGGCGAATTATTTTGTACATCGTACACATTGTATATGCTTTTTATTGTAGGAATGGCTCTGTCATGATGAAACTGGACGTTGATGTCGAGAAGGGGGGAATAAAGCTCGATGAGAATTTCTTAATCGACTTTGGAACTGATAAAAATGATGTCTTATTAGCTCATGAGATGAGGTAATTAAATAATTTAATGCTCAATTATAAAAGACCACGATATTTCGTAAACGCAGTCATTATTCCCCTTTATTTTTTAATTTCAGGTATCCTGGAGGAGATTGCACTTCGGATATTTGGTTAATAGATACTCCACAAACATAAAAGTCAATGGTGAACTGTCTAAAATAAGAACTTCAAAATGTTTCTTGTTTCTCTATGAAGTAACATGTATCATGAACCTTCAAAAAAATAATAAAGCTTACATACTTTTCAATTAACAAATAGAGTACTTTAATGAATGTTATATGACATAATTATACATTATATCGATTATGATTTTAGGTAACATATTTCATTGTCCTATAGAAAACTCATTCTAGTACAAAAGTAAATAAATGAAGTGAAGACGACTGTAATAAGAATGATAATAATAATCATAATCATAATAATAATAATAATAATAATAATAATATTTATGGAATGAAGCCATATGGACAAAAGAGGATCGAATGGCATAGATTTATTCGTTTTAAAACTCATAAAGACTCAAGCTCAGTTAGGCATGAAAAAATTTATATTTTACACTGATAATTATTCTGATCAAAATCGCAATCAGAAAATGTATTGTCCATTTAAATGAAGACAGCGAACGATTAAAAAGTTAAAATAATCCATTGGTAAGCTTTTCATTTATTTGTTAACTTGCATGACGGTAATATCAGTTTAATAAGCAAGCCTTAATATTAACTAATTTTTACTGTCACGCTATAATGTATAGATCACAAAATAACACAAAACATAACCATAACAAATGCATGACAAAAATTAAACATCTAGTGCAAATTACAAAACAATCCTTGTGAAAAATTAATTCTCAAAAAGCGAAAACTACTTAGGGAACGAAGTACCTACAATCGAACGTCAGTTAGTCATGATGTTGTATTAATATAATATTAAAGTCTACTCAAAAATCGGAAAAAATCTATTTGAAAGGAAAAATTCCTGAACTGAAATTGTAAGTAGTCGATCAGTAGGGCCTACTTAGGCTGCCTCTTTTGCCAACTGAGATAGGTCCTACATTGGCAGCGTCAGGTGGCGTTTGGTAGGCCCTAAGTAGGCTGCTTCCATTGACGTAACATAACCACCTTTTAATCTATAAATATAAATATGTACATATAAGAATACACTTTATATTTCAATTAAACAAAAGTCATGCTCTATTTCAAACGAATCATACTTAATTTTCACGAACGTTTTTTACTACGGCATTGTTGATCACGTATAGTGACAAAAATATAACCCTAAGATAAATAGAAATTTTTTATATAAATAATGATATAAATGTACTTAACCTTAAAAATATCTTTTTCACAATTAATATCAAGTTTACAATATAAACATGTGATTCGTGAGTTAATTCTGAGGAACTATTAAATAATAACCAAGAAATAAATACAAATTACATGCTCACACTACAGTTTGCTTTTTTTTATACAAAAACATATTGATTCAATTAAATGACAGATGAACTTGACTTGACGGTGGACATCTAAATGACTGCAGTGTGCAAAGTGTTGGATGTGAAAATTTCATAATCTTAGCACGGTTCTTAAACAGTTTTTTTTGAAATAACAATTATTATTTCTAATTCAGTACTTTGAGAAACTTTGTTTAGTGGACAACAAATTTAATATCGATTGGTTTTGTCAGTCTCATATGTACTTATAATACTCATGAATCATTTCTATAGGACTCAATGAAAAACACTTGTAACTTAAGTACTTGTGTATAATTTTATGCTACAGTTTATACTGCAACTGTAGCTAATACAACTGTATATACTAGAAGAGAAGTAAGATAAAGATAGGTTATGTAGGCTGCCTAATGAGTACATCACGCACGCTCCTTGACTTGCCTGCATGTGCCCTCAGTAGGCTGCCTAAGTAGGGCCTCACGAACTAGAGGGGCAACCGACTTTCATTTCTGTTCAGGTTTATTTTTTTTCGCAATAGTGTGCGGAAAATGGATGTTTTCCGCACTGGTATTAGTGTGGAAAATCGATTTTCCCACATAGTGTGCGACAAAGGTATGCGGCAAAGGTTTTTCTGCACAGTGTGCGGAAAAGGTGTGTGGCAAAGGTTTTTATCGCACAGTGTGTGAAAAAAGTGTGCGGCAAAGGTTTTTCCGCACAGTGTGTGGAAAAGGTGTGTGGCAAAGGTTTTGCCACACACCGGAAAAAATTTTGCTACACACTGGAAATCAAAATTCAAACCTATTTCGTACCTATTTTCCTCACACATTGCGAAAAAACTTGTACGCAACTCGTGCGGGACGATTTCCCGCACTCGTGTGATAGACTCGCACTCATGGCCGGTGACGGTAACTCGTACCTTGAGATCTCACACTCGTGCTACGCACTCGTGTGCTCAACTGGTACTCGTTCCCGTCAACTNTATTGGATAACGTACCCTTTTGGCGACTATTGGCTTCTCTGTTGCCGTTGTTATTCGATGCTTAAGTAAGTTTGTAGCTTTTAGTAGCTCGCCGTCGAGGCCAAATACGAATGGATTGTACTCTATGAGGCTCCGGATGTAGTTTAATTCTTCCATGTTGCAGCCAGATGTATCGACGATTTCCATTATTTTGCTTACTCGAGCCGCTATATCCGATTTCTTAATATCTTTGAAATTTTCGCTGTTGTTCTTTATATCCTCATTATTTTTACCGTCACTGCATTTCTTTCTTTTATAATTTTATTATTTTTCACCTTTCCGTCTAAATTTTTAGCGTTAAAAAGCCCAATCATGGCTTCGTTTAACCCTTCAGCGTCGTCCCCAACGATGCTGAATGGTTCCGCCCCTTGTCTGGTTTCACATTCGAAAACATTTACTTCTGGTACTGGCACGTCAATTTTTATGTCTGATATGTTTATAATTTCCGCATATATCTTAAAGTTTTTATTTTCTCCCATAAAATTTCCAAATAAGATTCCCTCCTTTATATTTTGTAGAGGGACCCAGCCGACTTGTACGTGGCTGCTCTCATTTTTTATACGCGCAAATGTTATTTTCCTCGATTTTGCGGGGATTTTAAAATATTCTGGTTTTAGTAATGGGATTCTGATGCCTTTTAATTCTAAATAATTTTCTTTGGCTCTTATGAGGCCATTATACAACTTAAAAGCGTCCCAGCCAATAATGCCTTCCATTTCTATCGGAAAGGTATCGGGGACTACGTGCAGATTCATTATTATACCGTTAAGAGGTATTTTAGTCGTCCCTAACGTGCAGCGTGCTCCGTGTGTGACGCCAGTTATTAAGACTTTTTCTCTGCTCTCTATATGCGTGTCTGTAGTGAGACAGCATTCTTTTATAATTGATACTTCGGCACCAGTATCCGCGTAAAATTTTGCGCTATAAGATTGCAGCTGATTGCTGTTTAATATTACTGATGGTGGTGTGCTTCCAGTACTCGATATATTTACCCTGCGGAGAGGTAGGTTCATG